GTGGAGGTGGGAGGAGCGAGAAGGACGCGAAGTTGCTGTGCTGTCGTAGTAACGGATGCATCTTTCCCTTCTGTGTGGGAAGATGCAGTCGTTGCTTTTCCGGGGAGGAGTTAGGGCTTCACCACACCTTTGTCAAAGAGGAAAGAGAACGAATGCATCTTTTGCCGGCCTTCGTTTTTTGGTGGGTTTGGGGTTGTTTTGGGGCGGGCGGGGTTTTGGTGGGATGGGATGGGTAGCATTTTCGTGGGATGGGAATTGATGGGTTGGGAATTCGCGTCGTTCGAATAGAAATCAAAATTGTGTCGGGGTCGTTCAAAAAAAAGAGGGAAAATTGTTCACAAAAAAAAAGGAAAAAATTGCATCGGGGTGAAGCAAACGGTGGCGGAGCCGAGAGGAAAGGAGGCGGCAGTGGACATGGTGGTGGAGGCGGGAGGAGTGAGGAACATGGCATGGAAGTTTGCACGTGGCACGTGCCGTAACGGCGGGGAGTGCATTGCCCAATGCACGTGGCACGTGCTGTAACGTGGGCGGGTGCATCCTCCAACAGAAGGTGGCAAGATGCATGGGCGTTTATGTGCGTGTGGCAGTACTACAAAGATGCAAAGCGAGTGCATTGCACGATAGAAGGTGGCCAGATGCAATCGGCCGCTCTGCACGATAGAAGGTGGAGAGAAGGTGGCCAGATGCAATCGGCCGCTGATTCTTCCTCTCTGTTCTCTCCGCTCATCAACGGTACTGGGGTACGGTGCACGGATGGAGGGGGCCTCATTTGTTTGTCGTCCATGGTAGCAATGTGGGCAACGCAGGGGGCTGTTGTGAGCCTGGAGAGGTTAACGGCAGGAGTCCTAAAACTCCTATTCATGGCAGGAGTCATAAAACTCCTAAAAGGCGGGAGTGAAGGGGTGCATATGGTCGGATTGGACTTGGAAGTTGACGAGGATGCGAATATGAGTTTTTGAAGTTGAAATTACAGGATGGATGGTTGGTTAGAAGAATACAGGATGGATGGTCGGTTTGAAGGATGCGGGGGGTCATAGATGGGATGGGAAGGTGTTTTCGCCAAGGGGGAAAAAAAAAAAAAAAAAAAAAAAAAAAAAAAAAGGGAGAATGGGAGGTTTGCGATGATACGAGTACGAGGGGACAATGAAACTCTTGCCCATGCATCTTCCGGGAAGAGTCGTCTGTTTGTGCTGCAAAATGGGAGGTTTGCGATGATCTGAGGGGACAATGGCATTCTCGGTCATGCACCTTTCCATGTTGCAGTAGAAGATTCGTCTGTTCGTGGTGCACGTTCAATTGGGATGGACGAGGATAGTTCGAAGGCCGGGTGTGATGGGATGGGTGTACGTGGGGGGGACATGATGGGATGGGTGTACGTGGGGTCGACATTTTTGCTTCATCAGAGCAGGTTCCATCGTTGTTATCGATGGATTATCGATGGATCGACGGAAAATCGAAAATGGAAAATGTGTTGAGTGCTGATGGCATTTTTTGTGGTGAGGGGTCCTCACGTGGCTGAAGCCTGTATGATCGTTTACGACTCTCGATTTGAAGCCTATAAGATCGTTCATGAATGAATCGTTGTTCATTCATTCATTGGTGTCATCATTGTGAGTAAGGTATGGTTAGAGGTTTGGTGGTATCTGGTTTGATCCTATCTTCGTTGTGATCGTGGAAAGGAAAAGGCTGTGCAGTGGGCGAGATTAGCGCAGTGATCTTGGACAAGGCGGTCGTAGACAAAGTGGGAGAGGCGATGGTGTGGGAGTTCGACAGTGATAGGTACGTTTATTCTTTCGCTTCTTTGCTGTCTTGCGACCTTCCCTGTTGTTTTGTCCCGTGCTTCCTGTCTTCCTACGCACTTCCGTCCATCTGCTCCCTTGTCTTTCCTTGTTTGTCATTTTTCCGACTTCTTACTCGCTCTGCTTCCTCTCTTCTTTCTCCCCCTTCTTTGTCCTTATTCTTCCTCGTTTCATTCTCTCCTATGTGTGCTCTCCCTCTCTTCTGCCTTCTCTGCATGTGCTTTCGTTTCACTTTCGTTCTCTTCGGTCCTTCGTTTGCCTCTGCGCCTCTCTCTCGTGTCTGCTTTCTCTCATGTCTCCCTCTTTTTTTTTTTCTCTTATTTACCTCTCGTGTTTTGTTCCATTCAGAGCTTCGTTGTCCGTTCAGCGCGGGATTCCGAACGGGAAACAAGTTTACCCTTGAAGTCTTTACGATGTCTCTGCTGGCTTGCCCGGGTTATTGTCGAAGTGACTAGCTCTGGCCAATTAGGAACATCGTTTCATTTTATGAATATTCGTAAGTCCTTTTTTTTTCCCTCTTCTACATTTTTTTTACAATTACGAAAATTGTTTCATTTTACGAATATTCAAAAGTCCTTTTTTCCCCCTCCTCTCTTCTACGTTTTATTAATGTCTCTTAAATTATTGCATGTGATTCTAGGTTTTTTCGTAATTCGTTTTTTTTTTTTTTTTTTTTTTCCACGGTGAGCTGAATCACCCGATGTTTGTATCCCGTGCCATCGTCTTCACGTGAACAGAACGTCGACGCTTGCATCATGGATCCCCCCTACGTGACCCTTTGCTTCGTAACACCCTGCTCTATGGGTTCTTGTCTCGTCTCCTTGGTCCCTTCTCCCGTGCTCCGCTGCCCTCTGCCCCTGCTTGCCGTCGTTGGGACTCCTCCCGTTCGTTTTCTGTGTCCCCTCCCAACCGATGTTCCACACCCTGTTATACCAGTTTCACCTCACCGGCTTAAGGCTCTATTTTGTATTATTCGAACGGGGTTTCCACATATGGGACATGGGCACGTGGAAAGCGCTACGATGACAATTCGTTGTCCTGATCAATCTACAGCGGATCAATCTATAGGAACGCCAACAGTCCACCTGACGACACATATGCACGATTTCTCTCTCGCATTACCGATCTTTCTTTGTCTCTTTTTCCCTGTCTCTCTCTCTCTCTCTCTCCCCCTCTCTCTGCCTCTCTTTGTGGTCATGAGTTGGTGAATGTCCGACGAAACAGTCTGCCACAGTCGTGCTTTTTTTTATAGAGTTGTCTAATTTTTCTGTTTTAACCATATGATAAGCATGTTTTTTTTTTGTGGGGTTCTGTATAGCGATGATGACAACACACACACACACACCTCTTTCTCTCTCTCGTTCTCTCTCTCTCTCTCTCTCTCTCTCTCTCTCTCTCTCTCTCTCTCTCTCTCTCTCTTTCTTTGTGTGTGATGTGTCGGTGAAAGTCGAACAAAACAGTCTGTCACAATACGACAATTATCTCTGCATTTAGGGCAATGTTCGTTCCTGTTAGAATTTTCTCTCTGTCTCCCTCTCTTTCTCTCTCTCTAAAGTCGTTCACATCATGATGTCGTCATGAAAAAAAAAAAAAAGTCGAACATCACACAGAGTCGGCAGGAGGGGGGAGGAAGGGAATGTTAGGCCCGGCCAAACCATGTTCACAGGATTGGCTGA